TTTATTTTTAGGAAATAATTATTTAAGTTAAATGATTTTCTGCAACTTAGAAAAAAAAAGGGGTGGTATTTAACAGAATTCCCTCCAATTCCTTTAATTATCTATGAGCTTCCAAAATGGAAACTGTGTCTAAACAAAACATCTTGGAAATGTTTAAATATAAGAGAGGCAGTAAAAAGCTGTTCTCCATCAGATGTTTTGAACCTTTTTTTCATTGCAGCTGGTTCGTGAAGGATTCTGCTCCAAGCGGAGCCAAGACCAAAGATTGACATGAGTTTTACACTCCAGAAACATGATGCTCCTGCTTGAAGTGCCCCAGGCCACACAGAATGTGCTGCAGTAAGCTGCAAAAAAAAAAAAATAACGCCATAGAACCCCATGTTTATAATCGTGAAACCTAATGACAATATACATTTTATTTATAGAAAATAGAATTCACATGAACCAAACGTTTTGAAACTGGAGTTTTACTAAAGTGTATTAATCCAGCTGGGTCTTGGACTAGCCATTAGCTCATTACTCTGGTTTGAATTCAACTCATTTTTCAAACTGAGATTCTCCAAATTTATAAAACGAGTAAGATATTAGTTTTTTATAACCTTTCCTTCAGACCTCATTTCAAAAATTGGTTGCGTTTCAATGAAAACTTGTAGTAACCAGCCTGTGAGCTCACACTAGCACACACAGAATTGCCAGTAATATTCATAAATATTTATATTTTTACTTTGTCTGAAGTTGGGACTGATGGGCCCAATGATATTAACATAATAATCAGTTCATTGTCATCATTTTTCTCTTGTGTGCTGAATCTGTGGACTTTTAGTCGTCTTCATTGGTGTTTTAATCCTATTTCAGGCAAATGTAAAACATTTTTAAAGCAACTTCCACCTGATGTGCAAAATATTCTTCTGATGCTGCATTCTTGAATTTAAAAACATTATTTTTTTACGACTCTGAATGTTAAAAAATGTCAAGACTTTTTATGAAGCAAGAAGATCGTTGTAGCTTATCGTTGCACTTTCAACTCTGATGTAGAAATTTTATGAAATCTAAGAATATTTTTGCATTCACTTACATAAACAACCTCAAAGATTTGCCGAAAAAAAAATTGTTTTATTGGTATATTTCAGTTTGTGTTGTATTTTCTACAAATAAGCGTTAAAAACGTGTGTTTTTCTTTTATTTATAAATCACACTTTTTTTTTTTGTTTGTTTTTTCCAAAATGTTCCAAGGTGCATCAGGAAATCTTGTCCGGGAAAAAAAAAACTGTGG